TTACGGAAGCTTGAGATGATAAACAAGCTTGATGTTTAGGTGCTGCACGAACTGAAGGAAATGAATTTAATGGACCGAATTTCAGCTTGCGATTTGCTGCTCAAGCGCCATCAAATGGAACCATTTTTAAAGCGGATTATCATTGGCGATAAAAAGTAGATTGTCTACAACAATATCAGTCGATAAAGATCATGGTCGAAGCACGGGGAGACTGCTTAGATGGTCGCAAAGTTTGGATTATACCCGAAGGAGGTCGTGCTCTATATCTGGGATTGGAAAGGAATCGTCTATTATAAGCTGCTGCCACCCAACAAAACGATTGATTCGACCAAATACTGCTCATAACTGGCCAAATTAAAGCGAGCAGTCGATCAGAAGCGGTCCGAATTGGCGAACAGAAAGGGCGTTGTGTTCCACCAAGGCAACGCTAGACCACACGTTTCTCTAATGACCCGGCAAAAGTTATTGTGGCTTGAGTGGGATGTTTGGTGCATCCATCGTATAGGCCGACCTTGTACCTTCAGACTATCACTTGTTCCGGGTGCTACAGAATAATTTGAATAATAAAACCTTCAGTTCCCTGGACGTCCTCAAAAACCACTTGGATGATTTCTTTGCCCAAAGATCTCAGGACTTCTATGAAAGAGGGATAATGAAGCTCGTGGAGAGATGGCAGAAAGTCATTGAACAGAATGGAACATATTTAGTTGAATAAAATCGCTTTTTTTGCTAAATATTTTGCGTTTGAAATTTATTCGATTCTCGCTACGGAATTATGCATAGACCCAATACAATATTTTTATTCAGTTTTTCGTGATATTTGAATGAAAACTTCAAGAAAACATGAATTTTTGAAAAATTTGCGCTTGCATAAGTTTCCTGTATAATCATTAATAAAGTCTTTATAAAAGGGAACACAAAGTGGTTTGTCAGACGATGTCCCTTCAGAGCGGATATCCAAGTGTAAAGGATTAAACACTGGCCAAATGACTGCTGAAATATTGGTAGTATTTAATCACTACAAAGGACTCCGCACAATTTCTTATATAAATTCGGTGGAATTGGCTGAATATTTGATATGTTGTAGGTCTTGTCTCTCTGGTAAAAAGTTCCCATAGGCACAACCCCCAATAATTGACCATTTGACTTTTACGAGGTGTCAAATATCAAAAGTTTCTAACATCACAATTTCTTATTTTCAACGAATAAAATATATTCTTATTTTGATTTACATCTAAAACTTTCTTCTGTGTATATTTAAAAATAAAAAGCTATAAAGGTGACATTAACTTGAAGATGATGACTTGATTTTTTATGTGAAACATATGTTTCAATATATAATACATTGACAACTAAGTGTACCATTCGATTATGTTTCGCTTTTTGTTGAGAACACAAACACAACTTTTTTAATTAAACTATATTTTAAAGCATAACAATTCAGAATATTTGTGGTTTATTAAAAATTCACTTTTTAATCACATGTAATGTCCAGCAGTTAATAATTCCACTGTTATTTATTCGGATGCGATACTTGACAAACTAGAAAAAATCACAAAATTACCCCATTATTACACAATACCCGCACTTCCTCTATATTGAATATTTAGTATTAACTAAAATGAAAAGAAGAAATGGCATAGAAATCAAATCCCTTGTTTTGTTTGTGATCGAGCTTCGTTCAAATCAGTTAGCTCGATTAAATGGTGACGATAATGCGATAAAATGAGAAATATCTATGAGAAGGTGCGAAGAAATTGATAGGTAAGTTGATTTGATGGATGATGCACGCTTGTGTCTTAATTGTAATCGTTCAATTAATAACGAAACCAGAGAACCAGAGAAAACGATCTCACATGCATGATATGAAACATATTGAATACAAATCAAACGAATAGTAATATTCTGTTTCATTTGTAATGGAGCTAAACAACAAACTTTCAATCCATATTAGAGGCAGGGAACTCACGTTAATCAAGCACGCCGATGTGAGAGGCAAGAGGATTCATGTTAATCAAGCTCTGGACTTAAATCTCTGAAATCAGGTCATCGACCTCAAGCAAATATCATCTTTATTGCTTTTTATTTTTAAATATACACACAAAAAAGTTTTTAGATGTAAATCAAAGTAGGAATACATCTTATTCGTTGAAAATAAAAAATTGTGATATTAGACATTTTTTACATTTGACGCCTCGTAGAAGTCAAATGGTCAATTATTGGGGATTGTGCCTATGGGAACTTTTTATCAGAGAAACAAGATCTACAACATACCAAATATTCAGCCAATTCCACCGAAATCCAATTTACATAAGGAATTGTGCGGGGTCCTTTCTTAATAATTATCATTATTCAATTTCTATAAGAGAATGTCAGAGTAAACTTATCAATGTTCTAAAGAAAGTCTATTTTTTACTCCAAAATTTGATAATTGATATTAACTCTTCAAGCTACCAATTTTTCACTTTAATCGATTTCTATAAAACTTTGTATGCAGGGGTTTTCTGGGTCGCTGAATACAAATCCGTTGTCAGAGTTTCAAAATTCAAAATGGCGAATTTAATATGGCGGACGTAAAATTCAAAATTCAACCAATTTCTATGAAATTAGGTATCTAGGGGTTTTTAATATCGCTGATTACTGTTGTCAGAAATCCGTTGTCAGATTTTTGAAACTCAAAATGGCGTAGAAACTTAGGTTTTTAAAATTCTCGCTTCGCTGTATTAAATCAGCCATCGTGAATTTTGAAAATCTGATGACAGATTTATAATTAGCGACCCAAAAACTTCTCAATACCTATTTTTCTAGAAATTGAAGTTATTTTTAAGTTTTCCGTCCGACATATTGGATTGGCCATCTTAAAAATTTGAAAATCTGATGATGGATTCGTAATTAGCGACCCAAGAAAACCCTAGATACCTAGTTTCACGGAAATTGGTTAAGTTTTTAATTTTATATCCACTATATTGGATCCGCCATTTCGAATTTCTAAAATCTGACAACGGATTCGTAATCAGCGCCCCAAAAAAATTCCTGCATATCAATTCCCAGATAAAAATAGTTAATTCTTCGCTTTACCACACATTTATTCTTAAAAACATGTTATTGTGTTTACTTATTTACTATTAGCAGTAATAAATTTAAAGAATTTATAAGTAATCACAATTATTTTATACTAGTTAGGGTCTTAAGAAGCTAAAAAATATAATCGCTAAGAAATCGATTATTAAACTTCTCATAAAATATAAAAAACTGACGCAATATAAGTGGGTCTCTGCTGTATCTGTTTGCGCCACAAAGGGTTAAAGGAATATTGAACTGTCCTCGGAGAGAGAGGAGGAGGGAGTGACGGAAGGGGAAAGAGAAGGGAGAGGGAGGAGAACAGGAAAAATGAGAGGGAGGGACGAGGAGGGGAAGGGGGAGGGGTAGAGAGGGAGAGAGATCGCACAGTGCAAATAAAAGAAAACAATATACCATATATAATAGTAGTTTACGAATACTGAGTTAAAATAGATTAGTGGCATTCTGTTCAACTGCATATTAATATGTAAGTATATAGATGAGGTACATGTTAATTGTGTGCACACATGTACTTACTAATGCCACTAATGCGGTATTCATAAACTACTTTGCACGGTTATATTGCTCTTTTTTATTTACATATTGAGAAATGCATATATATGCAATTTTTTTAAGTGTACTTTATTATAAAGCCTAAAATTCTAAGCATGCTTCTGAATATTGGACGGTGTTCCTACAAGAAATATGCATCAGGCTATTACCTTTTTATATATTAAACGGAGAACTTTTATATAAACTATATATAGTTTAAAAAAGACAGTTTCAGATGTTATATTTGAAATTTCTTTGTCTTTAATAAAAAGATTATAATAACGAAATATGTCAAAATGTGTACTTTAATCGTACATAAAGTAAAATCAATGTGATTAAAATGATGTGATAGTACTGGGATTAGTATGTAATAAACTTATTTTATGATTGGAATTTTATGATCGAGCAGCACTCCGACATTCCTTTAAAAATTTTCCAAAATACTTATATATTTATTTTCGTTCAAAATTATGTAAGGTATATTTGTTTTGTTCAGAATGTAAGTTATAGGTTTTCAAAATTAATTTAATATTGGCATTAACTTCATCCGAAATCATCATATGGAGAGTGTGGTCAAATTTACATCTCTTTGTGTTACGTATGATGTGTATATGTATGTGTGTATATGTATACACGCGCACATATATGTAATCAATACATATTTAATGTAAATATTCAATAAATTCGGCTGCGCTGCTTCCATGTGGTGTCTTAAATAAAGCTAATGCTCGCGGTAAGTTAAACTTTAAAATTTATAAGATTTATTCGCATAAATCTGAACAAAAATAAACATCATATGAACGTTTCGGAAAATTCTTAACACTAATTATCAAATCTTGAAATCAAAAGTAAATCTAAGAAATGCAAGATGTGTGACCTTAATAATATTATCCAAAAGATTAAACTGTTAATACCACAAAACTGCTAATATTATTTTATACTGTTGTGCCCGAGCCACAAGGTTTGTGGCAGTGTCTGTTGTCCGCGAGCCTTAGACATCTGCTATTGATTTTGATAACTGAAGGATGATTGTCTGGTAGACGGAAAATCGATAAGAAGAAAACAACAACAGCTGAGAAATGTCGCCGCGAGCTGACGTGACACAAACGCTATTCTTCATTATTGTTAGAACGAGTGAATTCGTTAATAAGTGACAGTCTGTACATATTTGAAGTAAAGAAAAGTTCTTTCTTTTCTTTAAAAATCTTGTCCAAGTTCATTTCGCGAACCCGGTACGCGCGAGACGGTCGCGCGTAACAATACTTTGCAGCATTTATCTTAAACATTTTTCTCCAAAATACGTACATTTCAAGATATTTAGATGTCCTCCTATATTTCATATACCTTGTATATAGTCATGTAAAGATAGAAAAAAATCATATATAATATAATCATAATATAATTATTTTCCTTATATTATTCAAATACATAACAAGTATTTGATATATTCTGGTTACGTAACAGCGTAACAGAAAGTATCAGATACATATGTGTTTCCTAGGCGTTAATTTGTGAATATGGGCTTTTCGTGCGCGCGCAAGTAGAAAGTAAAACTTAAGCAGAACACGCGGTTTGGTGTAAAGGCATCTAAATCTCGATTAGCGCCATCGATGTTCGCAACGCAAAAAATTGCGGCGGTTGCAATGATTACGCAATGTCATGAGAAAATATGGTCTTAGGATGTAAATTACGCAGAATAATGAGCATTGCAAGAGCTTCCAAGTGCGACATTCTGTATATCTTTCAGCCCCAGTCTATCGCAGTTTCGTATATGGAAAAAGAGTATGTGATCCGTAAGAATTCTCCCTCGACTGTACGAAATCTGTTCCAAAAGTATCCGACCTCTGCGTATATCTTTGTCCCTGAGCATCCTATTGTAGACAGATATTTATTGTAAACAGATATTTAGTATTTAAGTTGGATCTTTAAAAATACCCTTACCAAGCGGCACGACCCAACAACTGTTCAGTGGGCAACGGTACGCAGTTGTGTGAGCGTCGAAAACTCTGAGCGTCGCATTTCACAATGACTGCCTGAAACGCACCTGCTCATTCATCTCACCTGATTCAGGAGTTTTTGACTAAACACGGCATTGTCCAACTTCGTCAACCTCCGTATAGTCCAGATGTAGCCCTGTGTGGCTTTTGGTTGAAACATCCGTTGAAGGGCAAAAGATTTGACGATGTTGAGGAAATAAAACGAAATGCAACGAGGGCTGTTGGCTATCAGAAAAACGACTTCCAGGACTACTTTCGCAAGTGGGTGTACTGTTAGCAGAAGGTCATTGCTTCGGAAGGAAACTACTTTGAAGGCGATGTTGTTCATATCATTCCGGAATAGCTCTTTCTCATGATACAGGCAAAGGTCGGATATTTTTGGGACAGACCTAGTATGTTCTTTGTAAATTGGCGAAACAACTAAGATAAAGTTTTCGCATTGTTGTTTCAAAGGATCCTTGTACATATACAGGATTATATGACTTCTGCATCTCTAACGTAGAATTCATCACGATCCTTATCGCCGCGAATATTCCAGTTACGAATAAACCCTTTTACGATGGGCATAACGTCAATCACAATCGTAGGAAAAAAACATTATATGTATCTATATATCTATATAAACTACAATGTATTGTAAAATAATGCCGTGATGTTCACCACTAGCACATGTTTATATCAATAACATTTCTAGTTGGTTCTCGCAATACCAAACAAATATCGCAGTTGCAACAATTAAACCAATCCAACCTTGAACCAATGAAGTTGACCTAATCGTTACAATCAATTTATGAATATCGTTGCAATGAGCATTGCGATTGATTGTGATTGACATTTCAGTTATTATAAAAAGACTAGAACATAACAAATTTCTCACTGGTATTCCTTCACGTAGACCTGATACATGTCAAAATTGCATTTGCACGCGCCACATTCGAACCGATGAAGTCAATACCACGGTGCAATCGTTCAAGTCGGATTAAGTATAGACAACAGTTATCTCAATGCATACATTCGTATATATACATGCATACTTTCGCTTTGTCCTTTCCGTCTCTTCCTTTAGAATCAGTCTGCTCTGTTACTGTTAATGGCGAAAACCATTACAGGCCGGACGTTACAATACTATTATTACACATTAAAATCGTTCTTATTATTATTATTATTATTACTATTATTATTATCATCATCATCATTATCATTGTTGTTACTATTATCATCATAACTCTTAGCATACGCATTTAAGAAACATTTAATTAAATAACATGAAAGTTTCGCCCTACATGTGCGAGTTCATCCATATAGTATATGTATAAAATTCGAATACATTCGGCGGATCGCAAAAATAAACGAGATGAATATTTAACAGCGTCATTAAACTCCAACATGTCGCATAAACTATACAAAACGAGCGCTCGAAGTTGGGAAAAACGAAATACTCTGGACGGTACGACGAAGAAGCATTCAACGAAACGTTATACATACATAGAAACCTTTGTATTCCGCTCGAAATCAATTCGCTCGTAACTATACTTATGTACAGTATAGTACTTAGATACTTGTGTAAATATACACAAATTAGTGTACTTGGTTCGGTTGTCGGTTTGCATATACATGTCCAACATCTCGTTTATCTCGAAACTTTGACAATTTCTGGTTACACATAAAATTCTCCTCTGGTACATAAAATCATTACTGGTATCAATAGCTTAATAAGAATTATGCAAATTTGTCAGTATCATCAATATAACACATCCATCAATATACACTATTTTAAGTCCAGACAATCAAAAAGTCTAAACAGACTTTTATTCCCGCTTGATAAAAATCGACCTTGTTTCTTTATTCAAATTTTAATATGTTCACGTGCTTGAAATTTTGAAAGTTCTATTATTCCTCACCGTATATTCTAAACGTCATTTGGAGATGACAGTTACTTTAGCCGTTGTGTGACATTTGCTAGAGCAACGGCAAACGCTTGTAAAGCGCTAAACGGATATTGGAAATCTAATGTGTATGCGTTGCCATCTATTCTGCCAAACTGCATCACCTGGACCAAAAAATTTAGAATTACTTTATAGTTTAATTAAAGCATTTAAACGTTAAGAAAAAGTTCAATTAATTATACCGGGCTTTCCAATAGTGTAGGAACCTCTTAATATTTATAAAATATATATTTTTGAAAAAAATATTCTATACAAAAGTTATAGGGTTTCTAGTGACGCATTACATAGTAAAAATAATATGACTTTGAACTACATTATCAAGATCAGATTAAGGTCACTTTCAAATTTTTAACTGCAACATCTACTTTTTATTGCATATTCTTAGAACATACTTCGGGAGCTTTCTGAAACATTATAATAAAATATATTTTCATTAAGAACACTTTGAGTAATGAAGATTGAAAGTTACCGTACCACCGGCATTAGCATTACTCAAGGTGTACACTCGTGAGCTAAAAGGTATGTGCACCGATTTTTTGTTGACTTCGGAATGCGCTCCAACTTGAGGAGAAAAACAACCACTGCTTCATACGTCAGCGCTGTCACTTATTACGAGAGCAGAAGGATGGCATATACGAGTGTCAAATAAGTAGTGATTGTGGCGTAGACACAAATGTCTTGGAGATTTTGAATTATAATTGAAGAAATGAAGAAAACAAATAGTGATTGTGAAGAAAAGTGGCAAAAGGCTTCATAAAATTTGTAAAACAGCATATTAAAAGAGAGTATTAATTGTCTAATAATATTTTAAGTGAAAAATATTTTTAAATGTGAGTGTAAGTTAAAAAAGTTATAAACCATAATTTCTTTAATGTTAATAAATTTGTCATCGACGTTGAATGAATATATATATAATGCTATTATTTCCATAGGTGCTATTATTTCCATATTTTTAAGTTTGAGTGTAAGTTAAAAAAGTTATAAACCATAATTTCTTTAATGTTAATAAATTTGTCATCGACGTTGAATGAATATATATATAATGCTATTATTTCCATAGGTGAGGAATTATATTATTGTGTTCAGCAGAAGTATGGCTTGTGCGTGTGCATGGATGGATGCAGGTGATTGGATAGGTGATGATAAGTTATGGAACAGATAAGAACTGAGAACCGTCACCTTTTCTCTTTATGAACTTCCCTTATCAAATTGTCTTCATAGACGAGGTAATCTTTAATTTGACGGGAGAAGTTAATAATCAAAATTTTCTCTTCTGATCAGATGAGATCTCAATTGGGTGCGGAAAATTCATACGCAATACCCACAAAAAATAAACGTATAGTGCGGTATGATAGATTGCTATTTAATTGACCTTACTTTTTTGAAGAAAATCTTGATGCTCAAAGGTTTGGAAGATTACTTGTAGATCAAATAATTCCAACCATATAAAATATTTTTCCAAATAATTTCGCAGAAATATGGTTTCAGCAGGATGGAGCTCCTCTTCATTTTGGTGTAGGACCATGTACAATTTTAAATTTTAAAGTTTTCACGAAGGTGGATAACAAGAAGAGATCGAGATGAGGGGGGAGAAAATTGGCCGCCTCGGTCATCAGATCTGACTCCGCTTGATTATTACCTTTGGGGCTACATAAAGAGTAAGGTTTACGAAACAAAACCTCAAAATATTCAAGAATTAAGGCCGCGAATAAGGAACGAAGCGAATTTGATACCTATTGAAACTAATCGTAAAGCCATTTCTGTTTTACTAAAGATTAGTGCATTGTCAGGAAATTAATGGGAGCCACTTCCAGTATTTACTTTAAGACGCTGAAACATATATGCGGAGCAGAGAGTTTTGAGTCATTAAAGAGAAAAGGTGACGGTCCTCAGTTCTTATCTATTCCGTAACTTATCATCACCTATCCAATCACCTGCATTCATCCATGCACACGCATAAGCCACACACGCGCGCATGTACGCACGCACGCCACACACACACACACACACACACACACACGCACACGCACACGCACACGCGCGCGCACACGCACACACACACATACACACGCACGCACGCACGCACGCACGCACGCACGCACACATGCGCATACATACACACACACATAAAAGAAGTATGAATCTGATCGAGCAACTTCCGTATGGTTTGCCTTGGGTAATGCTAATGCCGGTGATACTATAACTTTCAAGTTTCATTACTCAAAATATTCTTAACGAAAAAATATTTTATTATAGCGTTTCGGAAAGTTCTCGAGGTACGGTCTACGAATATGTAATAAAAAGTAGGTATTGCTATTTAAAAAATTGAAAGTGACCTTAATATGAGCTTGACAATGTAGTTTAAAGTCATACTAATTATTCTATGTAATGCGTCATTAAAAACTCTATAACTTTGGTGTAGAACATTTTTTTCAAAAATATATGTTTTTCAAAATATTAAGGAGTTTCTACACTTTTGGAAGACCCGATAGATTAAAAAGATTAATAAAAATCTACGTAAGATGACGATAACGAAATGTCTTAATTCATAAATGCAGAGATATGCAAAATGGGCATATTTATCCATATTTATTTGAAATAGAAAATGCGACAGGATTTCTAGATATTTAAGATAGGAAATAGAATAATGATATTTTGAAAATGATTTTTCAAAATGAGAATAATTTTTCATATATGTGAATATGCGTACGGTGTGCATGTGCGTGTGACGTGTGTATGCGTGCGCGCGCGTGTGTGTGTGCGTGCACGCAAGGTAAGGCATTTAAAACAGGCTACATGAATAATTTTGAAAATATGCAATATATCGTATAAAAAAATATTAAATATAGAAGTTATAGGTTATAAGTGACATCACATAGCAATACTAGTATGTCCTCGGGTAACGTCATCAAAGTTATGTGAAGGCACCATACATTTTTTAAATAGAAACATTTATTTTTTATTATATCATCATTTTCTTCTAATTAATTTGGACAAATTTTATCTGAAATATTTTTTTATTTATTTAACATTTTCAAGATATTTAAAGAAAATTTGGTAACTTTTTCAATACTTGGCTTACGATATCTCGGTAATTTTGTTGGAAGAAAAAACATTAAACTTTTAAAAAAAATTACTAGACTTTCTACTATATTTGGTCTCAAGAATATTCTGTTACAATAGTACCCTAACTTTTATTAACTCAATGACTATTGGAAACTTCAAAATTATTCCTAGGTCAAATTCAAGTCCATTATTAGATGCTTATTTTCAAACTCTTTTATTAGTAAAAAATTTTCTTATTTAATATTTTTTTCAAAAACATTCCTTCAGGTTACTTCGGGGCACCTATCTTGCTAATACACCGTATATATTTCTTACAAAGGGGATAACCAGAAGTGAAAACACGCTTTTGAAATGCGGTTAGTTGCAATAGATAGTTTTTCATGTCCGCGTTAAGAATCCTAAACATTAGCTTTAAATATCTCATTTTTTTTACATATTTAAAAAGCAGGAAAATGTTGATATTGGATTGATTAACTGCTTGGTAGTGTAATAAAATTCAAGAAAAAGAAAAAAGTTAAGTAGCAACATGTTCTAAGATCAATAGTTTTTGTTATAAAAATTGACCTTTCTATAGTGTTTAGGGCACTATAAATAAAGTTCCAATTAAATATGTTGTCACAAAAACTTCAACAGCACGTTGAAAAGTAGATGCAGTAGTAACTGGTGGTATGAATGCAATACTACCTAGTTCATTGTTATATATTTTTTCATATTTTTTCAATTAAGAGGGAACACCACTGTGACGGGCCCCAAAAGGACTCTTTTTCATGAATTTTTTTTTATTATTGAATGAATTATTTAAGCATTGGGGGAAGAGTATATTATTACAGACACTTTGAAGAAGGTTTATACAAATTTTTATTAAAAAATAATAAAAATTAACAAAGATATATACAACAGAGTGCCGGTCCGTAAAAAAATTCTTCTCAAATATTTTCTTAATCTGCATAAACGTAGTTTTTGTTAAGCGTAGCTGTTCTTTTTATTTGGAAAATTACTATTTTTTAAGGCCTTTTAAATGAAGAAAAAATGTTGGAAAAATTGAGATTTTTTTTTAACATGCCGCTATTTCGAGAAAAATTAATTTAAAAAGACGGCCACGTTTAATGAAAACTACATTTATGCAGATTAAGAAAATATTTGAGTTTTTTTACGATGAACCATGCCAGGAGACATCGATTCCACTATTGGAAGAATTTTTTACGGATCGGCACTCTGTTATATATATCTTTGTTAATTTTTATTATTTTTTAATAAAAATTTGTATAAACCTTCTTCAAAGTATCATTAATAATATACTCTTCCCCCAATCCTTAAATAATTCATTAAATAGCAAAAGAAAATTCGTGAAAAGGGGCCTTTCTTGGGCTCGTCACAGTGATGTTCCCCCTTAAATGTTTAAAACAGTAAATAACAACAGTTACTAACAATACAATATATGCAATATGTGATATAATTTTATTTTTTAATTTATAAAAAAAGATTAAGAAATGTCTGAAACTAATGTTTGAGATGCTTAATACAGACATAAAAACTATCTACTGCAACAACAAATCACATTCCAAAAGTGCGTTTCTATTTCTAGTCCTCCTTTTATTAATTTATAAGAAAAAGTTTTTATAACTTATTTTTCAATTTTATTCGAAATAGAAAATGGATAATGAAACTATTTAAATGAAAATATAAAATAGCTTTTTGAAAAATGTATTTTAAACACAAAATATAAAAGTATATATGTAAATTGTATATTAAACACAAAATACAAAAGACATTTTATATTTTGCATTCCTATTTTAAACGCATTTATTTCAAATAATGCCCATCTCTACACAAATGAAACAATAAATGAAACAATAAACGAAAAAATATGAAAAATACTGAAACAAATGAAACAATAAATGAAAAAATAAATAATGTATCAAACGAACATTATTTAAAAAAACTAAATGTTTCGATCGTTATTCTAACTTTTCTTAGTAGAAATGTGTAAGAATTATACGACTATGGACTTAATATATGTAGAATATCGGGAAGATACCCCATATCTCAAGTCTGTTTGATATTGTTTCATTTATGTGTTGAATTGTTCCGCTATAAACTTTTATTGGCTTTTTAAAATTTATAATTAATTGCACATACAAAAATCTTAATAATTTGTCTAGTATTTTATCTTATAAAAGTTTGTTCTCACCTGTCTACCCCTAAATTCAATTTGAAAATTCTTGGCGCTTTCTTGAGTCACTCTGCCACCAAAATCGAGCTGATATACTTGACTAGATTCGTTCCACATAGGTGCTTTGTTATGCATTACTAATTCGCGCCTTATCACTTCTGGTTTGGAACTAGAAACTGCTGCTCCTTTTTGCTTTAACTATAAATAAAATCTATCGGTATGTTTTTCCAAACTTAATAAACGTATTTATTTTTAAAAAGTCACGGATATCGTTACCACGGACCTTTTGACGTAACTGAGCTTTTTGAAACGTCTCTAGATCTCGGTAACTTGTTGAGGAGTCGTTTTGAAGAAGCCCTTCCTCATCCGAGCTTTCGCCGCGACTTTTTCTCATTCTTCTGCTCAATAATGGACTCGATAAAAGCCTTCTTCGAATCGGGGAAGCTGACGCTGGTCGTTTGCCTTTTTTAGAAGGTGCTGGGCTACTAGGCGAACTCCTTGGCAATCTATTATCAAGTGTGTATGGGTAAGTTGCTAAAAAGTCATCTGCACAGTTGATAGTTTAATATACAGTGCCCATCAAAAGTTCCGGGCCACCTAAATAACTTCTGAATGGTTTAAAATATTGGATTGAAATTTATAGGGATACAATGAGATTACAAAGTCTATCATTTAACCATAAAAATACCCACTACCACATTACAGGAGGCCGGGAGGAGAGGGAAGTCGGAAAATCTTAAATGACATGTGGGATTGAATGAGGGCTCGTTTGAAAGGGCTTTCCGAGAAAAAAACAACGCGGGGAGGTCAAGGTCTCTATGATTTTTTTTCGCAGATTTCGTGGTCATTTAAACATTTCTATACAGATTTTGCGATAAAGAGGCCACGGCAAATAAAATAAGGCTTCACGCGTGTTCACTAAGTAGATAGAAGTATATGTGCGTGTGTGTGTGTGTGTATGTGCGTGCGCGCGCGCTTGTGTTCGTGTTCACCGCGAAAATAAGGATTCCGTGGTTTGTCAGCTCCACAATATACCCTGTCATCATCAATATAATGATCTTTTCCGTATCAGTTAAATGCATTTTCTGACAAAAGAAATGTACTAAAATGACTAAAGTAAATTATTAAATTACAAATAAGGAATTGGACTGGCATTCTTCAAAATTCTAAAGCAACTATGTATGAATTTATAATATATTAGTTTATAGTTGGAGCTTATAGCTTATTTGGTTGTAGCTCACAAATCACGTGAACACGTGTGGCTGAACGCGTGTATTACACATTAAGTGTACAAATAAGTTTTAAAGCGTTTTTTGTATGACATATACTGCTGGTTTACAAATCAGAAATTCTCCCGCGGTTTTGTCATGTGACTGTAACCGGTCCAGAATAATAAAAACGACGCAGAAATTAGCTCAGCATTCAAACGTTCTTAAACGTTGATAGGTGAAAGATGGCAAGCGACAAAGCATTTATTCGTCACTGCATTCGTTACCAATTTCATCAAGGGAAAGTGCTGCAAAAGCATGTGCATCGATATGTTCTGTTCTTGGGGAGAATACTGAATCGAAAAGCATATGTGAATTTTGGTTCAGGCGGTTTAAAGCTGGTGATTTTGAGATTAGTGAACGTAGCGGCGACCCGCAGAAGGTTGAACATGAGCAATTACAAGCATTACTGGATGAAGACTCCGTATAAACGCAAAAAGAACTTGCTGAACAAGTGGGAGTAACACAACAAACTATTTCTAATCATCTACGCAATAGGAAAGATTCACAAAGAAAGAAAATGGGTGCTACATGAACTGAGTCAGAGGAACAAAGATGAGCGTGTCATGAAGTGTTTGAATCTGTTAAACAAACAGGAGGTAGGAAGTTTTTTCTATGGAAAATTGTAACGGGCGATGAGAAGTGGATATGGTTCGACAATCCCAAACGCAAGAAACACTTGGTAGATCCCGATCAAGCAACGACATTAACACTGAAGCGCAATATTCACTCGAAGAAAGTTTTGTTATGCATCTGATGGGATATCAAGGGTGTGCTATATTATGATCTCTTGCAACCGGGTGAAACTGTTACTGCTGATCGCTACAAGTAACAATTGCTGCGATTGAACGAGAAAATCAATCGAAAATATCTATTTACTGGCAAAGCATTACGCCCCGTTAAATTACTCCATGATAACACCAGATCGCGAAATCGATCAAGGAAACGTTATTGACGCTTGGCTGGGAAGTTTTGGAACACCCGGCGTATAGTGCCGACATAGCCCCTTCAGACTATCACTTGTTCCAATCCATGCAAAATGCTTTATTTCCAATTCACTTCCGGACATTTGACGAACTGCAAAAATGGGTTGACGACTTTATCGTATCGCACAACGAATACTTCTTTATTGCTGGAATCCGTCAGCTGCCTGACCGATGGCAGAAGGTGATAAATAATGATGGCGCTTATTTTGATTAATAAATATATTGTTCTTTTCTCTCAAATACCCTTTGCATTATCTTAAAAACGCTTTAAAATTTATTTGTACAACTAATATTTCTATCTACTTAGAAATACGCGTGAAGCTTTATTTTACTTGCCGTGGCCTCTTTATCGCAAAATCTCAATAGAAATGTTTAAATGATCATAACTCTGCGAAAAAAAGCCATAGATACCTCGACGACCACATGTTGTTCTCGTCTCAGAAAGCTCTTTCAAACGAGCCCTCACTCAACCCCACATGTCATTTAGAATTTTCCGACCTCCCTCTCCCCCCGCCCTCCTGTAATGTGGAGACGAGTGTTTTTGTGATTAAATAATAGACTTTGTAATCCTATTGTATTCCTATAAATTTCAATTCAATATTTTAAACCATTTAGAAGTTATTTAGGTGGTCCGGAACTTTTGGCGGGCACTGTATACTACCTTGATGATGGACGCGGGGAAGGTGGTGGTAAAGAATGCCTCTCATCGAAATCTCGAAGTCTCGCGGCAAGACCGTCAAGCGATGAAGCAAAAGATCCACTCGGACTCGAGCCTCTGAAATATAATTAGTTTTTTATTTGAAACTATTTTGAAAGTATATTCACTCGCAAAAAAAACCGGCCACTAAATTTTAACACAGTTTTCTAACATCTTTCAATACCGCCAACTCAGCCAAAAATCATCATATTGCGATGAAATAAAGCTCAAATTAAAGCTTGGATATTTCTTGTCAACAACCAAAAACCTAAAAGTAAATTATAATAAATGTTTTAAATGGCGGATGTTGAAAATAGACTTCGATTAACGGGAAAGAAATTTGTATCTTAACTGTTGCACTGTTTAGAGGAATTGGTTCTTTGGTACAAAAATATATGAGATTTAAAGTTCATTTATTTTCTTAACAAATCCATTTTCCTAACAAATCTATATTTTAATCATTTTTCTACGACCTTTTTTGATACAGTTATAACGTTTTGAAGAAAATGTTATAACAGTTATGAGTCCGGATATAAATCCTATCGAACATTTATGGGCGCATGCTGAAACGAAGAGTAAGAAAACATAATATTGAGTTAGCCAATAAGTCCGTACGGTTTTTCTCGATAGATGGCTTCAAGACGCTCTGCTAAGCTTTATCTTCAGTTGAAAGTCTTGAAAGCATATAGTCATTGACAAATGACATTTCAACGTACATTTAAAAAATATACGTAAATATTGCTTGTATATCTTGTGTGTTTTGCATCATCTGAAAATGGATAACCAGAACGAACATTTTCGACATATTATGCTTTTTTATTTTAAAAAAGGCAAAAACACGGCGTAAACCTGTAGAAAGATTTGTGCAATATATGGTGAGGATGCCGTAAAAGAACGCGTGTGCCAAAAGTGGTTTGCGAGATTTCATTGTAGAGATTTTTCTATCAAAGACGAACCATGTTTAGGCCGACCAAATGAGATCGACAGCGACAAATTGAAGACGGTAATCGACACCAATCTACACGACGCGATTGTAGACGTTCTCCAAATATCGAAATCGAGCGTGGAAAATCATCTGCATCAACTTGGTTATGTTAGCCGTCTCGATGTTTGGGTTCCGCACAAACTGAGCGAAATTCATTTAATCTAACGCATTTCCATCAGTGATTCACTCGGAAAACATAAGAAAAGCGATCCATTTCTGAAACGTATGATAACTGGCGACGAAAAATAGATCGTCTATAATAACATCAAGCGCAAAAGATCGTGGGGGGCAGAGCAGCGAACCGCCACAAACCACTTCGAAGGCAGGGCTTCACTCGAGCAAGATCATGCTCTCAGTTTGGTGAAATTGGAGGGGTATTGTGTTCTACGAGCTACTTCCGAAGAACAGAACGATCAATTCAGATTTATACTGTAATCAGCTGGATAAATTGAATGCAGCAATCCACGAGAAGCGTCCAGAATTGGTGAATTGCAGATGCGTCGTCTTTCACCATGACAACGCTAGGCCGCACACATATCTACAAACCCGGCCAAAATTATTGGCGCTAGGCTGGGATGTCTTACCACATCCTTCGTATTCTCAAGACATTGCACTTTCAGATTATCTGTTTCGCTCCCTTCAAAATTCCTTAAATGGAAAGCACTTCATTTGTGAGAAAGCTGTCAAATGACACCTGGAACAGTTTTTTGCCCAGAAAGACAGGAAGTTCTTTGAACGAGGCATTATGAAGCTACCCGAAAGATGACAAAAGATAGTAGATAATAACGGCCAATACATAATTGATTAAAGTTATTACCTTCTATAAAAATAATCATCGATCATTTATAAGTAAAAAACCGCACAGACTTATTGGCCAACCCAATACTCAAGCGTTAGTAACACTGCTTTACAAGAAGAATGGAACAATGTAAAATAAGATATCAGAAATTTGATTTACAGTATGATCCAACGAACAGAAGCATTGTAAAATACGAGAGGAGGCAATACGCACTAATAAATTTAAACACATACACATACACATAACACATAGTATAAGAGTCCTGCCATGTCTACGTCGTTGATCCTGGGTAACGTTAAGAGTAGGACACACACACGCATGCATATGTACACGCACACATTCATACACAAAATTTCAATCCGATCATCTACCACCCCGTGGAACAATTTGATTGAGTTACATGTTAATTTCTTTTTGAAAAAGTTTTCCATGATAATTTTTATTCTGAACTGCAAATTTTACAAGAAAAAGTTGTTCATTTTGTAACATTTTCTTCAAAACGCATAACTTCATCAAAAAAGTCGTAAAAAATGATTAAAATATGGATTTGTTAAGAAATAAATAAGCTTTAAACCTCATACATTTTTATACCAGAAAACTGATTCCCCTGAATAGTGCAACAGTTAAAAAACAATTTTTTTCCCCGATTAACTCTTTGAAGCAAAGCGGAACTCTGAAGTCCCACCTTTATTTCATTACGTTTTTGAAGTATAAAAAACTCGATATTCTTGCTGTTTTTTGTGTTTTCGTTCGAGTATTATGTTATTAAGTACGTTGTAATGTGTAATTTTCATAAATTGTTTATGAAATTGTTTATATAAATAGTTAAATGCATAAAAACAGTGTTTTTTGTATAAAAAATTCGTGTCAGAGAAAACAATTATAGCTATATGGATGACAATTGATATCCTGGGGTTTTCGAGGCCGTCGATTACGAATCCGGGATCAGAAATTTAAAATTCAAAATGGCGGATCCAATATGGTGGATAAAAATGTTCAAAATCCTTCGATTTCGACAAAAAAGGTACATGGAGGTTTCTTGGATCGCTGATTACGGATTTATTACAAGATTTCTGAAATTCAAAATGGCGGATCCAATATGATGGACAAAAATGTTCAAAGTCCTTCGATTTCGACAGAAATAGGTACATGGAGGTTTTTTAGGTCGCTAAATTTATGATCAGATTTCCGAAATTAAAATCCATACTATCATATCAAAGTTAGCCATTTGAAGTCGCCATATTGAATCCGCCATTTTGAATTTTAAAATTTTAACTTCAGATTTGTAATCCGCGATCCAGAAACCCCTATATACATAATCAGTCTCTTTTATTACTACATAGAAAAATTCGTGCTTCTAAGAGTTAATCGAAGTCTATCTTCGACATTCGCCATTTTGTAAAACATTTATTAAAAGAGCAATTGCAAGTTTCGCTCGTTTAGTGGACCTCACGGATTGAATCGAATTGCGGTCTAAATGATATCTTACGATGATATATTAATCTGGGAAAAAATTTCAAATTTAATATAGGAATGGTTTCGGAGATATGAAGAGTCAAAAGTTGTCGAAATCGGTAAACAAATCCAACGGTGTGGGATAGATGAAAATATCATGTTGACTTTCACTAATATATTTGTAAAATTGTAGAGCGATGTGTACCCAGAGTACATGTCGGAGTTCGTTAATTGTTAATTTTAAATCAGACGTTCAAAAATCAAAATGGCCAAATCAATATGGTGGTTTTGGTTGTTAAAACTGGAAAAAGTTTGTTATAAATATTTTTGAAAATCAATCAAATATATTAAAATAGCATAAATTAATAAAAAAACATGAATATGATATAGAATTAATTACTTTCAAAGATACACAAATGATGATCTGTGAAACAAAAGATTAGATTTGGTTATATTATTGTAATGTATTTCAATAATATGTAAGCCTCTTTATCACGTCACGGTACTGATCTACGAAGAGGCTTTTTCTATTTTTTCTTTTAATTTCTCTTTTCTTCTAATTTCTTTTAATTTTTAATATTTTTTTTATTTTCTATTTATTTTTTTAGAGTTTATATTGGGTATGGGAATAAGTTTCCGCCCGTTTTAAATATAAATTAGTCGTTTATTTAAACAAAAAAATACAAAATGATTTTATTCCAAATATATCCCATTGGAAGCGACTACTTTCTCCCATCTTTCAGGTAGTAAACGGATTCCTCGAAAAAAAAATCAAGTTCTTTTGACTCGATCCATTCATTAAGCCATTTTTCGATACCTTTATGAGAAGTAAACCGTTCTCCAGGAAGGGCTGACTGCATGGACCGAATAATAAGTGGAAATCCGAAAGAGCAATATCTGGTGAATACGGCGGGTGGGGCAAGATTTCCCAATTCAATCCTTCCAAGTATTTTTGGACCGGTTTTGCAACATGGAGCCTAGTGTTGTCGTGTAGCGTGTAGCAGAATTAGCTTGTTGTGCTTATTATCCCATTCTGGTCGTTTCTCTTTCAAAGCTCGGTTCAAACGTATTAACTGCAGTCGGTAACGATCCCCAGTGATGGTTTCGGACGGTTTTAGAAGCTCACAATAAATAACGCCCTTCTGATCCTACCAGATGCATAACATAACTTTCGAACCGTGGATATTCCGTTTTGGAGTTGATGGACTTGGTTCACCTGGCATCATCCATGATTTCAATCGTTTGGGGTTGTCGTAGTAGATCCATTTTTCATCTCCAGTGACAATTCGATGCAGAAAACCCTTCCTTTTTTGTTTTTGAAGCAGCACGATTCTCGCACGTCACCAGCTCGTCTTTCAATGTCTCTCTCCTTCAATTGATGTGGCACTTAATTTCCTGATTTTTAGACCATCGCCAAAGCATATAAACATTTTCCGACGGTAGATCTATCAACATTTAACTCGTTTGAAAAATCTTCGAGCGTTCGACTCGGATCTTCTCCGAGTAAATCTTGCAGTTGTACATCTTCGAACTTTTTAGGTGCCCCTTCGCGTTCTCGGTCGCCACGTCATAATTACACTTCGAAAACGTCGAAACCACTCTTTACACGTGGTACTCGACGGACCATGATCGCCGTAAATATTAACAGACATTCGATGCGTTTCAGCAGCACTTTTCTTCAGAATATAATAATAGAGTAACACTTCCTGCAAATGCTGCTTCGTTGGGGTAAATGTTGCCATTTTCGACGCAAAAAAAATGATGTTTACACTTCAAACGAATGTCTACTACTGCGATTCAAAGCTCACAAATATATCTTCAAAACACAAGTATAGCCGT